CCCAGGGATCGAACCCAGGTCTGTTGCATTGCAGGCAGATGCTTTACTATCTGAGCCACCAGGCAGGCCCAGTGCTCTCACCTGGACCACATGAAATTCAAAGTCAAGTGTTGATTAAATATATAAAAACAAATGGAAAAAAAGGAAGACGGATGTTGATGGAGAATCAAAAAACCAAGTGTGGGAGTCTGATCTTGTCTAGAGTGTGTAAAGAGGAGGTGAGAAAAGTCTCAAAACACTCAGAAGATTTGGATTAATAGCTGAAAGATGTGTGTGAGTAAAGGAAAATTGGAGAGGAAGGTGGGGAGACCAATCAGGAGGTTAGAGTGGGAATAGAGTTAAATTGAGAACCAAACAATCCAAGATACATTCATGAATCAGAAAGTCTTATTCAGCAATTATACTTAGGATGAGGTGGTTAGATAGCATCACTGACTCAACAGACATGAATCTGAGCAAACTTTGGGAGATAGTGAAGGACAGAGGAACCTGGCGGGCTACAGTCTATGGGGCTGCAAAGAGAGACCTGACTTAGCGACTGAACAACAACGGCATGTGAAAAGAAGATGCAAAATTTCTCCAGGATCTTTGGTTTTTGTTGCTGGAGAGTCAGCTAGGACAAACATAATATATTTTACTTTTAGGTTGTCCATTTTATTGGCATATAGTTGCTTGTTGTCATCTCTTATAATTCTTTTTGTTTCTGTAGCATCAGTTGTAACTTATTTTTCCTTTCTGATTTTATTGATTTGAATCCTCTCACTTTTTATCCTGATGAGTCTGCTAAAGGTTTATCGATTGTGTCCATCTTCTTGAAGAGCCACCTTTTAGTTTCATTGATCTTTACTGGTGTTTTCTTTTGCCTCTATTTCATTTTTTCCTGCCCTGATCTTTATGATTTCTTTCCTTCCACTAACTTTGAGTTTTATTTATTCTTTTCACACTAGTTGCTTTAGGTGTAAGGATAGGTTGTTTATTTGAGATTTTTCTTGTTTCTTGAGATAAGATTGCATTGCTATAAACTTCCTTCTTAGAACTGCTTTTGTTATATCCCATAGGTTTTGGATTTTCATGTTTTCATTGTATTTTAAATTTTACTTTTAGACAAATTACCCACAAGGTGCCTTTGAAGCATTCATGTGAAATAACACATTAGACAGTGGAGATCTGAAACTGACTCTCAGATACAATATTGATCCAGGCTAGAGATACAACATTGGAAGTCATTGGTTTATTATTGATAATAGGTTGAAGTTGTAACATAAATGAGATTACCTAAAATGGATATATAGCCAAGTACTCTTGAAATGCTTTCTTCCAGAAAATTTCTGTTGAGCTTTGTGGTCATAAGTTTAATGATTTATATGATTGCATTAGGAAGACTTAAAACAATAAATTTTTTTGAGTGTTTCCATCCACATGGATCCAGGAAAAAAAAATATAAATGCTTAAATTCAAAATCAAAGCAATTATACCAGAAGGGAAGAGAATTATAAAATATTTGGAACTTGCATGTATTCAATATCATGCTTATTGAACTCTAATGGTCACGGAAACAAAAAAGTTCTGCAAAATGTTAAAAACATGTATCAAGATAGTTAGTGGTGAAGGTATGGGGGTTGGGGCATTCCAAGCAGAAGGAGAAGTGTGGGAAAAGTTATAAAAGATGAAATAGCCTAACTCGTTCAGAGAACCATATCAAAATCAGTTCTATATGTGGTGAATCTATAGCTGAATTCAAGATGGGTTAGGAATACAGTAGGTACAAGTCAAACCAGTAGCCATAGTTCAAATTGTGAAGCTTCATATGATATAATGAGGAGTTTGGATGTTGGCGATGGAGATTTGCCATTTCAGAAAGATTCTCTGACTTGGAATATGGAGGATAAATCAGAAATGAACCCAACTGAATCACATTTTAGTCATCAGACTCTCTTAGTGGTTTGAGGGAAAGTAATAGAAAATAAATGTTGTGTTAGATCTGGAAATGAAGAGAAACATCAGAGGTGTGGAAGCTTTTGGTTTACTATGAACTAAACTTTCCCAGTGTTCCACAGCTAAGAAAACTATTGCTAATCTTAATGTACATTAGCAGAAAGATCCTGCCATGTGACCAGTGATAATGATTCCCACTACATCCCCCTTCTCTGGTCACATCAGTCTCTCCTCCTGTGTAAAATCATTGACGTTAAGGAACAATGTACAATGACTAGTAAAAAATACGGTGAGGAAAGAGTAAGCCAAATGTTACGCCTTCTGGAAACTGAGTCATGTAAAAAACTGTTAAATGGTAACATTAACCAGCGCAATAAAAAAAAAAGAACTGTTGCATAATGAAAATTAAGGATAAATGGTTTATTGAATACACCTGATTCAGTGCAAGTAGTAAAGCCTTTAGCCTGTCCTATGTTTCTCCTTCAAACCCAGTCATTGTCCTTATGAGCTGTGCTGATCCAATGAAATCTGTTAGCCCCCTTAGTTTTTTTTTTTTTTTTTTTGGCAAGATAAATCTCAATTTAGTATTTAAGAGATAGTGTTCAGTATATAAAACATTTAATGTTCTCATCCAGTTTTAGCTTTTTCTAAGCTGGAAACTTCCCAGGTGGCACAATGGTAAAGAATCTATCTCCCGATGCAGGAGACATAAAAAGTGTGGGTTCAGTCCTTGGGCCAGGGAAAATCCCCTAGAGGAGGAAATGGCAACCTGCTCCAATATTCTTGCCTCAAAAATCCCACGGATTGAGGAGCCTGGTGGGCAACAGTCCGTGGGACAGCAGAGAGTCAGACACGACTGAGCATGCTGGGAACTCAATGGGGCAAGGATCTTCTCCGGAGGCTTCTCCTATGCCCACCTCCTCCTCGCCTGAAACCAGCTGATCGTGGTTCCTCAGGGCTGAGGAGGCACCAGGAGAAGGGAGGTCCTGACTGACTGGCCCAGGAACAGTCTGTGGTTGGGTTGCTCTGATGGCAGATACAGACGGGGCTTCTGTGATTCTCCTAAGGCCTTTGGCGGAAGCTCCTTGATGCCTCAAGCCCTGGCTTCTGGGTGTCCAAGGGCCACCATCTGTTAAGATTCCCTGTCTCCTCAGGCCCGCAGCTCTTCTGAGTCTGAACTTAAAATGGCCATACATTTTAGTTCCGTAGGGTCTATATCTTATTCCCAGAAAATAAGTCCTTCTGTCTTAGTATCGGTGTAAGTGTAGCCTGCTCTTATCTCAACATTCTTTCTCTTTGCTTTGCTGTTTTGGGTTTTTTTTTGGGGGGGGGGGGTGATGTTTTAGGTCTTAGCCAAAAATAGCCCCTATGTCTGAGTCCCCTTGCAGAGCTGGAGGTGATGAGGGAAGCATCCTTACATCTCTACACAGAGATGAGAGAGATCCTTACAGCTCCGTGCCTTCCACCTGCTCCTCCACCATTTTTTATTTAGCTTGCAGACGGCTCATGAACCAGGGATAACAAAATCTCTTACTTACTGTTTTAGCAACCCAGACGATCCCCGATGTAGAAGTTGCTTTATGACGTGGCAGTGTGCAGGGAAAAATTAAATTAGCCAAGATGGCCTGGTCAGGCCCTCTTGCCCCACAGCCTCTTGCTCTTGCCCCACCTTTTGTAAACAATGTTCATGTAATAAGTCACTTATAACACTGCACATGCGCATCATGAGGTACTTGCTTGGTCACGAGCTACGTTAGGGATATGAGAGCGCCACCTAGAAAGTGGCTGCCTTTTACTGCTGCGTCACGGCTGTGTCCATTGGGTCAGCCACGAGACGGGAGAATGTAAGGTGTCTGTTGTTACGGCTGCAGGGTCAGCAGGAGAGAGGCTGTGGCATGGCTGCTCTGCAGGCCAGGAGAGAATATACGTATCTGCAGTTCCCACCTCTTCTCTAGCCTGCTACCAACATCTTAGCTCACACCTTGCCTCCCCTGGGTTCAGCGAACACTGACACCAGCAAGACAATTTGGCGTCATGAGCAGGATCGGCGATGTAAGGTGTTTTACATCTCTGTAATGTTGTAAGACTTTGGGACCTCAAGAAAAATAAAGAATCCCAATATTATAGCCAGTGCGTGCTCAGTCGCTTCAGTCGTGTTTGAGTCTGTGCAACTCTATGAAATGTAGCCTACTAGGCTCCTCTGACCATGCGATTCTCCAGGCAAGAATACTGGAATGGGTTGCCATTCATAACATAATTAGACATTGCAGGAGCCAGATTTCAAGTTGCCTTTCTAACAGATAGTTTTGTTTTGTTTTTTTTCCTTAAAAGAATAAACTGCGTTAGGAAGTTGGGAGTTCTTTTTCACTGGACATCCATTAGAGAAAGTTTCAGGAATGACCTATTAGTCAGTGCAATTGCCCAGAGCTGCACAGTTAGAAGGATCTGTGCTTGTTTGAATGCTCTGATGTCACCTTCTTGAAATTACTCATAATTTGTTAATAAGAGGCCCTGCATTTTCATTTTTCACTGGGCCCCACTAATTATGTAGCCAGACCCGATTAATATTGTTGTACTATGTGGGTTGGGAGACTAGAATCCAGATGATTGAGAAAACTCTGCCTTTAAATCTTATTAATCTGAAAACAATGTTAACTCCCGGGGCCATTGTTATATGTGTGTGTTTGCAAACTATTTAATATGCTTTATATTATGATATAAAATTAAGATGGAGTTACTTTTTCATTGATTCTGTAAGGTTTCTTAATTGTTTTATTTTTACTAGTAACTTTTATGATGCAATATTATATGATTAAAATGTGCCATGTGCAATATTCATGGATTACTATGAGCATTTGGTTTACTTAAACTCTGCAAAATTGAGAGGGCACAATTACATGTAGCAAAATAATCTCTAAAAGTTATTGCTACATTTCTAAATAATGATTTTGTATTCTGTTCATGTAAGCATCCTTATTGCTAGCAGAATTCTGATGCTTTTTCCCCATTTAATGGGATTCAGTTGTAATTGACTTTTATTTTTATTCTTTTTTTTTTTTTGGAAGGGAAACATCTGGGAACAGATTTTACGAATACCCTTCATCTTGGAAATAATTAATGCAGTTCCCTTCATTATCTCAGTAAGTCCTAAAAGAATCTTTAAAAGAAATAATTGTGTTATTAGTCATAAGTAAAGTCTTTAAATCTAAATAGCAATAAATAATATATTAGCTCAGATGAATGAATTTAGGCTTTTGTAATGTATTAAATCATGGTATTAGAAAATAAATAGCAAAGTCAGTTATAACTGGATTATGAAATTAAGTGAACATTAATGAGATTTAGTTCAATAGCAAAATGAAATGCATTTTAGGAATATATACTCTAGAGGTACCATTTAAACGTGTTAATTTTATCTAAAAAGATTAAAAATCAATCACTTCATTTCTTGTGTATATTGTAGAGTTTAAAGAAATAAAAGCCAAGTAAAACCAACTATTTATAAAAGTTTCTCATGCTGAGAATGTTTATCTTTAGTTTAAGCCATAGGATTTATTAAATCCAGTTCTCTGTTTGCTAAATGTGTCGCCAACAACTAAGACATCCAGCAGTCTGCTTCTTTATTGAAGTCTGTGGAGGACCAATTCCATGGTGATCCTGTTCAGCTACAGAACATGCAACCAGCACTTTCTCATTGCAAAATTGGATCTTAATCTTTGATTATTTGATAAAGCTTTAGTAATGTCTGTTGGGAATATGCTTTCTAACACTTTTTATTTTGAATTTTATTTGGAAAATCATGACTATAAGTGAGTATGATCTGAAGCTGTTGCTCACTCTGACAATTATTTTAATTTGAGTGATTTATCTAGAGGAACAACTGGCTCCAGATTGAATGACAGGTTAATTAAATATAATTCCAATGGAATACAGTTCCCCAGTGTCACGTAAATGTTTGAATCTGAGAGAGTAACTACGTGATAGAAAAGTAAAGCACTGTCTCCTTACACCTATTTTACCTCCAGTTCCAGAAAAGAAAAAGATGATATGTATTATAAGAGTCATACCAAAAGATTTAGTGATGGAATTAGCACAGTTATAGCTGATATCCCACGAGAGCTGATTATTTTCTTTCTGCTTCCACAATAACTTCGCAAAGAATTTTTCCTTAAGACAGACAAGAATGAAAGGATCCTGTCTGCCCCTTCATTTCAATAATCATATGAGTTTAGAGTATTTGCCACGTGTTTTATATCATTATATTGTCTTTAATAACTTATTTTTGTTTTACTTTTCTTCTCAATCACGTAGATTTCTTGCTTGGAGATAAAAGTTTAGTTTTGATTTGTCTTCCAGATATTCTGGCCTTCCTTAAGAAATCTATTTGTCCCAGTTTTTCTAAACTGTTGGCTTGCCAAACATGCCTTGGAAAATATGATTGTAAGTATAAAATACAAGTGCAAAAACAAAAGTATTTTTCAATGCTCCATTATTTCTTACCTCACTAAAGTGATGTGTTGCATAGATGTCTAAGCCAATAGACCCTAAGTCTCTGTGGAGTTTTCTAAGGCTCTGTATTGGAGCTGGAATGTCCTCATGTAAAGTCAACTTTTTAGGTTGGGTTCGGTTGGGAATAGGGAGGGAGAAGGGGAAGCAGGAAAAAAGAGATGCAGAACTCAGAGATGTACCACCATTGCATTTTGCCTAAGGCCAACTCTGTTTGAAAGGACTGATTTATAACTAGGACCAAAATATAATAGGCTTGGATACTTACGAGTGAGCTGATGTTTGCTACTTGCTATTCAGCCATTTATTCTTCCCTGGTGGCTCAGATGATAAAGAAGTTCCCTGCAGTGCAGAAGACCTGGGTTCTTTCCCTGGGTTGGGAAGATCCCCTGGAGAAGGGCATGGCAACTGACTCCAGTATTCTTGTCTGGAGAATTCCATGGACAGAGGAGCCTGGCTGGCAGTCCATGGGGTTGCAAAGAGTCAGACATGGATGAGACAGGAACACTTTCACACTTTCACTTCTTTCATTTATTCTACAAGTATTAATATGAGTCTGCTCTCAGCTATGCACTCTGATAAAATAAGCAAGTGATTTAACGCCTTTGCTAATGTCTTCATTTTAAAAGAGAATAAAACTACCAACATACAGGCTTGCTGTGAGAATTGAGTTACATTATATATCCATTCATATATGTGCAAAATTCTTGTATCTAGCATAAACATAGTAAGAGCTCAATATTATTAATTTGATCACACTGAAATTAAGTTTGCTTGGAGGCGAACTTGTTTTTCTTTTCAAATAGTTTTTTAACAGAAAGTATGGCAGTAGTTTTGACCAAAAGGAATATTTGGATAGCATTTGAGTATTTATGACCAGGTGAAAGTTTCTGATCAGCTCTCAATATATTAAGTGACCGCGGGAGTCTCATGCAAGTTCACAGCTAATAAGGGGAGCGGCATATGGCCTGTGAATGGTTTACAAAAACATCCTGCTCTCTTAGCTGTCCAAAAAAATTTTATTTCACTAACTATAGATTGCCTAAATTGTTAATGAAAAAAAAAATCTCCAGTACTCTTTGCTAATTTGTGTTTATTAGTTGCTGGAAAATGTAACCTAACCAAGAAAGGAATCATTAGTCAATCATTGAGAGTAAAAGTAGTGCTTTGCATTATTAATTTAGGATTCCTTTTCCATCATAATTCTATATTTTACTTCTTTTCTCCCTGATTGCTAAATTTTAGTTTGTTTTTCTCTTCATTAACACCTCTGTTAGAAGAAAGTAAAGAATGCAAGGTGAAGTTTTAATCAACTTAGTTTTTTTGTTTTCATAACAGAAGTTCTGGTTAAATGTGTGGTAGAAAAAGATAAAATAATGGCTCATTGAGGTTTTATTTTGTACTGAAAGTAAAAGTGGCTCAGTCGTGTATGAGTTTGTGACCACATAGACTGTAGCCCGTTAGGCTCCTCTGTCCATGGAATTCTCCAGGCAAGAATACTGGAGTGGGTAACCGTTCCCTTCTCCAGGGTATCTTCTCAACCCAGGAATCGAACCAGGGTCTCCTGCATTACAGGCAGATTCTTTACCAGCTGAACTACCTATTTATCTCATGTAGTACAGTTATTCAGACTGTTAAAAAGTTATTATGAAAATTTATAAAACAATACTATAAAGTAAAACATTATGCAAAACTACAAATCTTCCACACAGGCTAGACACTAGTAATAATTTATATCCTTCTAATATTTTCTATGAAAGCACACACACACGAAATTGTATGTTTAATTTTATGATTTAAATTTTTGTCGAATACAAGTTCCTATGTCAATAAATATTTATGTTCAAACCATTTTTAATGGATGCATGTAAGTCTGCTATCTAATTTTAATCAATTTATTCAACCATTTTCCATTTCATTTTTAGTTATTTTAATAGGAATGAACATTCATATTAATATTATAATTTTATAATAATGATTATACAAAATATATAAAAAACTGATACAAATAAATAGTATACAAAATAATGTAATATACATCATACAATATAGATATTATACAATGTTATTTATATCTATATTTTATACAACAAATAATATACAAAATATAGGAAATATTATAATTTTGTAATGAAGATGACCATACATAAATATTCAACTTCCATCTCATAGTTTTCATGTGGTTAACTTTTAGAAATTATATTATGGTATAAATACTAATTAAATATTGAATGCATGAACTGGAAAGGGCATACTTGTGAATTTTGACCTGTATTAGCAAATTACTTTCAAGATATTTGTAACAAATTACTTGGGCAGTATTACATATGTGTGCTCATTTTTTTCCTCTTAAATAACAGTAGGTATTATTATTTTTTAATGTTTTTTCAATTGCAAAGTAAACTCGTATCTTGAATTCACATTTCTCTTAATATGAATGAAATTTATCTCAATGTATTCATTGGGTATATAATTTTTTATTTTTATGATAAACTGCCTGGTATAATACATGCTATTTTTTTCTGATGTAGAGAATGAGATATGGTTGTAGTTTGATCCAGCTATTAATTTCCCCTCAGTTGAACATATTATTTTCTGATCTTTTAAAATTAGAAATTTCCATAAAACAGCATTCTCTTCAGGGAGGGCTTTTGGAGAGTCATTGAACATCTCTTTGTAAGGCGAGTAAACTAAAATTTAGTGCTTTTGTCATGTCCGATAGTATTAATATTATCTTGGTAATATGAATGTTATAGTGAGGTTTAATTAGATCTAGGAAAAACCAAAAATATCCTGCTCTATGCATTTAAAGTATGTGTGTTGAGTATGAACAAGACAGTTAAAATGTAATACATAATAACAAATGTAACAAAACTCGTGATTATTGAGTATCTATCAAAATTTAAGATATGCTTTTTCTATATTATTTCAGAATGATCTGCACAGAGCCATTCAACGTACACAGTCTGCAATGTTTAATCAAGTTTTGATTTTAATATCTACATTACTATGCCTTATCTTCACCTGGTAAGACTGTACATCAGCATTTTCATTAAGTTTCATTTTAATTATAATACTAAAAAAACAGTATTATAAACCATTTAAGCTAAGAGCTGGCAATAAAGATGAATAAATATTTACTATAAAACATAATGGGTCACTGACAGAAACAAAAATAAAATCTTTACTTCAGTCTTACAGAAAAAAAATCAAGAAAGGGCATCAATTATTTGGAATTGATATTTACTGCAACTCTGAGGTTTCACAAATGCTGTAAACAACCAGATCACAAGAATTTGTATTGCATGCCATAGTTGTCAAACAAGAATTTTTCCTCCAAATCGCTGACATGAAGGTGCCCTTATCTGTCTGTAATCTTCAAAGCAGAAATGCTGTTGAGAACATTGTCACTGCCCATCACTCTCTGCCTGCATCTTCTCCCCTGATGGTCTAACAAGCAGCCAGGCAGAAAGCCAGGGCAGACCTGACAGTGTGAAGCAACTGGTACCTTGCTTTGTTATAGAAAACAGCTATTTCTTCCTGTGGAAAGTCCAACTTTGCCAATTATACAGTAATCCAATGAGAAATGATACACTTCCTATATGGATCCATTAAGATCCTAACTAAAGAAAAAAAAAGAAATGTGAAAATCAGAAAATGAGGTAGAATGATATATCTGTTTTTCAACTTCATTATGTATAATTGTACTCTGACCTGAATTTGACCTACTGAGAAAGAGAAATTAGGAAGTCCTAAAGTAGGAAGAATGCCCTCATCACTAGCATTATGCAATTTTTAGATGTAAATACAGCTACAGATACATGTATGTAAATATAGTTTTAGATATAGAAATATAATATATGCTTAAGTAGTATGTAATTAATGTCACTATTAAATGGATTTAAAATGTTTTATTGCTTACTTTTATATTTAAAAAGTAAGCATTTTAGGATATTCTACACTGTTAAATATAAAATATCCCTTTAAAATGGACACAATACCATCTTATCTTTTTTTTTTTACTCTGAACAGATTGCTTTTATTATTCACCTAGTAAATAACTGCATACATTTCAAATACTGACAGCAAGTGCCTTCTCAAGTCACAAAAATGTTCTTAATTTTAAGATAATTACATTTTTAAAATAATTTAGGAGCTTTCTCCTTTTATTGGACTTAAGAAAAAGTACTTAAAACTAAAATTTATATATATATATATATATATGCTGATTTCTCAATTGCTGGAAAATGACCAAGAGTAAAATGAATGAGTTATAAATGTTATACATAATCTGTTAAAGTAAATTTGGTAAAGGGATAATTGAAATTTTAATGCTAAAACAAGTACAGATGATTTAAATATAATAACAAGTCCAGTACTTTGGTTTGGACTGTGCTCATCACAGTGAACTACCTACAGTGGGGCTCTTACTTTCTGCCTCTACATCTATTTCTTGAGCACTTTTTATTTTTGAAGGAAGTGACTACACAAATTTTGCCACTTTCCTATGCCAAGGGGTGCAGCAGTGTTTGATAAAAGGTTTTCATGATCTATGTGAAATTTCCATTATGCAACTTGTTAATCTTTTAAATCATTTATGTTTCACTTTTTGTTACATTTATAATTATAGTTACTTTTTTTGTTGTGTGTATATATTGTTAAATTTCAGACACTTGAGTGGTAGTTTTTACAAATATAGTCTATAGTTAAAGCTGTCAACAATAAGCGGATTTGAACCTGTCTTTCAGTGTGGAATTTGTGTATAGAGTTATTTCTAACTACATAAAATGTTATTGTTTTTAATCACATGCGCATCAATACAATTACATTAATATGTTTTAAATTATAATATCTGGGATAGAGAAATTGACATTTGATTTATTTGTGTATTGTCTAGCTTTACAAGCAAATGTCTTTATAAACCGTGATCGTCATAGTAAGGTAGAATAAGTCTTATTTGAGTTCACCATAGGTGATGGGGTTACTTACAAGAAAAAATATTAAAAAATGTTGCATTAGTCATGATACACTATCAGGCTATTTTACCACAGTTATGCCACACATATTATAAAATAAAAGTACACACAAAGATATAAGAACTTATACAAATAGAAACGTCTGTGTAGTCTGTCCAAGATTGTTACATCAGCTTAATACGCTGGAGATAAAGTTTCCTTATATCTTGTTTTCTGTCATTATAAAAACAGTTTCCATGGTTCAGTATGGCTGCTTTGGTCTTGCCATTACATCCTAACTCCAACCTTTTCTCTTAGGAGAAAAGGATATAAGGTACTACAAGAAACTGCATGCATAATTTCAGCTAGAATTTGGTCATATACCTACACATAGCTGCAGGAGATCTGCAAAAATGTAGCCTAACTGTGCAATATACCCAGTTGAATATTATACCATGAAAAGGAAAATGGGATATTGTGGAACAGTAAGCAATGATGAGTCACAAAATGCTTATTGTTTGTTTAAAACTCAGGACTATACTAATTGGGAGGTCTTGGACAGCTTATTTATTTAGTCTTGTTTTCCACATCATTAAGTGAATATAATACTAATCGCCTTATAAGATTTTTGCTTTTTGTTTTTTAAATGAGGGTTGAATTGGGTGTGTTTATAAAATGTATATGAGGGCATGGTAAATTGTGATAACTCTTTAAAAATTTTAATTTCATTTTTTTTAATGCAAAATGATTTAATTATGTGAACTCAAAAATGAGATTTACTTTAAAATGTCTAAGCATAGTAATTTATTAATAATACTGTAAAACTGAATCAGGATACCTAAAAATAATTCTAGGCAGCAGACAGAAAGAACTGGCTACTTTTTTTCTTCCAGTTTTATTGGGAAATAATTTATATACAGCACTGTACAAAGGTAGCATGTACAGAATAATGTTTGCTTATATACAGCAGGAAAATTTACCATGGTAAGTTTAGTGAATGTCTATCATCGTTTGTAAATATCAAATAAAATAAAAAGTTTCCTTGTGATAACTCAGAATTTATTCACTTAACAATTTTCCTGTATAACAGAGCAGTGTTAATTATATTAATCCAGCTTTACATTACATCCATGGTAGTTATTTAGCTTACAACTGAAAGTTTGTACCGTTTGACCCTTATCATCATTATATAAAGATACTACATTATTATTTATTATATTCCACATACTTTAATTTTCACTCACTTATTTGTAACTGTAAGTTTGTACCTCTTAATTGTGGATGTGACTGGTGATGGAAGTAAAGTCCAGTGATTTAAAAAACAATATTGCATAGGAACCTGGAATGTTAGGTCCATGATTCAAGGGAAATTAGAAGTGGTCAAACAGGAGATGGCAAGAGTGAACATCGACATTTCAGGAATCAGTGAGCTAAAATGGACTGAAATGAGGGCATTTAATTAAGATGACCATTTAATCTACTACTGTAGGCAAGAATCCCTTAGAAGAAATGGAGTAGCCCTCATAGTCAACAAAAGAGTCCAAAATTCAGTATTTGGGTGCAGTCTCAAAAACAACAGAATGACCTCTGTTCATTTCCAAGGCAAGGCATTCAATAGCACAGTAATCCAAGTCTATGTCCCAGCTAATGCTGAAGGGGCTGAAGTTGAATGGTGATATGAAGACCTACAAGACATTCTAGAACTAACACTCCAAACCCCCAAAAGAGATGTCCTTTTCATCATAAAGGACAGGAATGAAAAAATAGGAAGTCAAGAGTANACTCACTAGAAGAGACCCTGATGCTGAGAAAGATTGAAGGCAGGGGGAGAAGTGGACCATAGAGGCTGAGATGGTTGGATGGCTTCACCCACTTGATGGACAGGAGGTTGAATAAGCTGTAGGAGTGGGTGATGGACAGGGTAGCCTGGTATTTTGCAGTACATGGGATCAAGAGTTGGACATGACTGAGTGACTGAACTAAACTGATATATATTTGTATCTATGTATGTATGTTGGTACACACACACAGACACACACATATGCACTCATATTTATATATATATATATCAACATGATGTAATATACCTGGAGGAGTGCATGGCAACCCACTCCAGTTTTCTTGCCTGGAGAATCCCTATGGACAGAGGAGCTTGGCGGAATTCAGTCCATGGGTTTGCAAAGAGTTGCACATGAGTGAGCGACTAGGCACAGCACAGCACAATGCCATATATATCATATTAAATGCTCTTATATATAAATATATATAAGAATACATATATACAAATCAAAGAATATATATATATAAATATATCATATTGAACGCTCTTAATTTATGTCACAGAGCAAGACTGTCAATGCTTTTCCAAATCAGAACTTTTAATAGATATATTAAATATTAAGCCCCGAATGATTTCAAGAACTAATATTTGATGAAAGGACTGTGTTGTTTGTAGATCTCACAGTCATAAAACTACCTGTTTGGAAAGCTGCTGTATGGTTTAAAATGTATCTTGCCTTCATTGTTATGAACACTACAGAGAACTGTCATTAGGCATCCGCTTATGAGAGACACCGTCCTCAGTGCCAAACCAAAATAACGATTAGGCTGCCGACCCCTCCCTGTAGGAAATGTGCTCAGAATTGCTTTTCCTGTCATTGTGATGGAATTGGACTCATCTCTCCACATGCCGCTGTGTGCCCGTCCTGATCAACAGTGCACACTTCCAAGACAGCTGGGAGTTGTGATTCAGCCCATGTCTCTGTAACAAAGCAGAGGCAACTGGTCCATCCAGGAATTAACTGCATGACTTTAGAGCAATTTTCAACATATTCTAACCAATAATAAGCACTCTAATGTATAATGCATTTGCTGTTTCTAATTTTATACTGTTAAACTTTGTTTTTGCACCTACTTTGATTTGAAATTTTTATTTGAATATGTATTGCATATTTTCATATTATTTCATATAGTTACATAGTACAACAAGATATATTAGGTTAATGGATATTTTGTGTTTTAGTACAGTGTGAAAAAGTTAGTTTACCTCCTCAGTCATTTTTTTTTTTTTCT